GCTCCTACCCTGGGGGTCTTTAAGAAGCGGCTTGATGCCTACCTGACTGGGGTCAATTGAGCCCAGTTTTCCTCCTGCCCAGGCAGGGGGTCGGACTTGAAGATCTACAAGGTCCCTTCTGACCCTACTTCTATGATGACATAGGCAGACAAGGTTCTTTGGGTGAATCCCAAAGGGTTTTTGAACCCGAAAGCTTGCTTAAAAATTGTTCTCCAACTATTTTAGTTGGTCTAATAAAAGATACCATATTCACCCAAAGAACCTTGTCTGCCTATAAACCACATCTTGAACTTTTGGGTCTCTTCTTTTAAGAATGCCAGATAACTACTAGTAAGAATGATTTGTGCGCCCAGTATTAGGGTATTTTGGGCACATGAAATAAGCACATGAGCATGAATTAATTCTTATAAGAGTTTATGCTCTAAACAAGTTAGGTACAAAAAGGATTTTTTTAAGTCATATACTAAGCTTGATCCATTTAAATGGCTGCACCACAATGGACCAAGCACTGGTAACAAACTGTTATCAATTGCTTATGATCTCTTAAATCAGGGGTTGTCAACCAGGAGTACATGTATGCCTGGGGGTAATTGGGAAGGCCCCAGGGGGTACACAGCAGCAGCGCAGAGAAGCGGGGGCACTTCCAGTTTCGCCGCAGGCGCTTCTGCTTGCTTTTATCACTGTGCGTGGGGGACCCCCTTGCTCATCAATCAGTAAGGAGGTACACCAACCAAAAAAGGTTGAAAACCCCTGTCTTAAATCAATAAACTAATTTCTGAATCAGTCTTCCAAATCTGCACTTATATTAAAGCTATAGTTAAACTCTCTCTTTTTATATAATCCTGCAGATGCTTTATTTTTAGAAACGGACTGGTTAATTCTGTCCTGTGAAGAAAAAGGTGATGTAAAAGTAAAAGTGAGGAATATTTCCTTTGAATGGTGAGTATTTGTGCTCAGAATGGAGAAGATTAAAGGCATATACTATCTTCTCTTTTTAAAAAAAATGACATTGAACATCTTAGAAATCTTACATATTAGAATATTTCTTTGACTAAATATTTACCAAGATCCTTAATAAGAGATAACGCTTCCCATGATATGAATGCTCCACCACCATCATCCATGGCTCCTTGTCCAACATCCCAGCTGTCCAGATGTCCACTGACAAGTACAACCTAAAAAGGCAATCAGAAAGAAAAGACATCTTTATGCAAATTCATATCCACAAGCATCCAAGGGGTAGATTTTCCCCACCTAGCCTAAATGTTTTTGTAATTCTGCATTTCAGTTTTAAAACACAAAGGAAGAAAATATTAAACATAATCCTTTATTCTCCAAACACATCTCTAGAATCAGAGAACCTACCATACTGACTCAGTCAAATCAAGGATCTGCACAAGTCCTAAGGCTCATTGGGATACTGTGACTGAGGCACAACACTTTCCTGTATCCAATGGCACACAGGGGCCAGCTTCACTTCAGGCCATTCTTGTCTCCCCATCCCAAATATCAGGTACCTATATGCAGGTGAGGCTGTTGAAGGTGGTCTTTGTCAAGACCCTAGAGTAATGCTGGAACTCTCACCTCCGGAGCCCTAGGAAGATGCGCTATTCCCCTCCAGTACTGTGCCCCATGCTGATTCAGACCTTTGCTTCAATCAGCTGAAGTGTCTTGCCTGTAGTAATGCCCAATAACCAATGCTTAAGTAAAAATCTTAGCCCTTCAAAAATGAGTTGTAGATTGTACCTTGTTGTAAGAAAGGAAAAATTCTTTCTGACCCCTGCTGTGATCAATTTAAAGCCTTTTAGCATGACATTTGATTAAATATATTTTAGTATGTTTAACTTATGAATATGTATTTGGACTGTTGTTAGGTCTCTCAAGTCAGGGCCATCCCTAGTTGGGGGTGAATAGGAACAACTGCCCCAGGCCTCGTGGAGCCGGAAGGAGCTGTCACAGCCCTTCCTGCAGGGCCCACCTAGTGCTGGTGGCTCTGTGCCACCACTGGCTTCACGTCCAGACGCCCACCACCTCTCCCCCACGATGGCTTCTTTGTGTCGGGCTCTGCACAGGCTGATTTGCCCTGCTAGGATCATCTCTGGGAACAGTCATTCTGTTATGTCTGTACAGCACCTGGCTCAGTGGACCCAGGCTTTATTATTAGATTCTATGATTAAGTACAGACATTCAAAAAGTCTGAGGTGGAATTGATCTAAGTTATGTGGTTTTCTGTAAGCAGCATAGTTTAGAACGTTAGTAAACAGAACACATATTTGCCCTTTGGTGAGGGAAGCAAATCTTACACCAGGTTCCACCATTTTTAAGCCAGTCTGTGCTGAACTTCTGTTATAGGTGTAGACAGGTTTTGTGTGCCAAACTACTGTTCTGGTACAGGTATAGACAAGTTTCCAATCACTTATATTGATAAAAGTGTAATGTCTATGCCTGGCTTATAAGTGCAACAACAACGTAGCAGTTTTATAGTTATTTATTTTAAACTATCCATGTGACAGGCAATAGAAGCCTCAAGGTTTGGAAAGAAACTTAAAATGTAATTAAAAATTGTTATATTATCTATACCCTTCTGAGACACAACTATAGAATGTATTTCTACTAGATTGTAATTCCAAATATTGCAAACTGACTAAACACTGTAGATGAAATGCACACTATTCTACCTAAAACACAAGTTACTGTACTTTGAACGAGAAATAATAGTAAGAAATAGTTCAAATAAACAAGTTGTCAACCAAAATATTTAGGTACTGCACAGGTACATGTAGAAATACTGTCCACTAAAGAAAGCAAAAAGCAAAAAAAAAAGATCACTGCCAGTGTATAGACTTTGTGAAAAAGAATTACTCACCAGCAACTGGAGTTCTATGGAGGTTACTGTCCAAACACATCCTATGGTGAATACACCTTTGCCTCAAGCACTTAGACTTTTTTATCTTAGCAGTATCTACAGAGTGCACGTGCCTCGTCTCTCCTCTCCTCATGCTACATGTCAAGGGTGTACAAATATATTGCCCATGGGATGGATCCAGCCTATAGAACTGTTCTATCTAACCCACCGGTAGTACAGTACGCAACTGGAAGTTGTGGGTTGGCTAGTGGGCCCTGCTGCAGAATTCAGGGTTCCTGGGCCCCAACAGACATGGTCATTTGTGGTGAGATGGGGCTGGCGTGGGGGGAGAAATCCACTTCACGGCCCCCAGGCTCACCACAGCTGCTGCTGGCACCATGGATCCAGCTCAGAAGTAGCCCATGGTTTGGATCCAGCCCAGAACCCAAGATGCATTTGACACCCCTGGTCTAAAGGGTAGTATGTGCTTATTACTGTAAATTCCCAGAGTACTCGAAATTCTGAGGAGGGGAAAGAAGGCAGGATACAGAATGAGCAACACAGCTCTTGGTAAATAACTTCTCTTTCTCCTTCCTGTCCAAATGCACATTTCTCTATAGGCAACTTCAAAGCAGTACCCAGTCCACTTGGATGCAACTCCAATAGTCCCATGCAAATAGTGTCTGAAGGACTGTTTTGCCAAATCCACTGTCTGCTCTAGACATCACTGTGATGATGTAACGTTTGGTGAAGTTGTACGTGGAGCTTCAGTTGGCTGCTTTGCAAACATTAATGAAGAACCTATTGTGTAACTCAGGGGTTGTCAATCAGGGGTACTTGGAAAGGGGCTAGGGGGTATGTGCAGGCAGGCAGGGATGGAGCACCACTGCCTCCCAGGATCAGGGTTGGGGGGGGAGGGCAGCAACTCCCCTCTGCGGGCAGCACAGGCGCGCCTGTCTGGCAGGATGCGGGGGGATGCTCGCATGCAGCCGCCACCATCTACCACCCTCCTGCTCCTTGTCCAGCTGCTGCTCCCCCCCACCCCCGCATCTGGCTGCTACTACACACACCCCTGCCCCGATAGAAGCGTACCCAGAAACGGTAACTCCTTTAGAAAGGTTGAAAACCCCTGATGTAACTGATGAGAAAGGCAAGCTTTCTAGGGATAGGCTGGTACAAAATATCTATGATCCTGCATGTGGGCTTTTCACCCTTCTTCTCAACTGGAATCTGCAATCTGAGCCACCTTCCTCATGAGCTCCTAAAAGTCCCTGAAGTCATCTACCTGGAGTGCTGAGGGAAGAACTGCTTCTTCAGGGTACAAGAGGACAGCATGGTAGGATACAGCATGCTTGTGCCATGAACGGATACTGTAGCAAAAATAAACCCCCCCAAAAAACCCAGACCCTCCAAAACTCTGAAATAGAGTGCATAAGGAACACACAGATCTCTAACAGACTGTACTTATGGAAACAGAGTTTACTTGACACATATTTTAAAGTGAACAAGTTTTGTATCTGGACTGACACAGACTCATTACTGTCCGCTGGATCAGTGATCTGCAAACTAAGATTTTAGAGAATAGATATAACAGCTCTGAAAGAGATTTCAGAGATTTCATAGACATTAGGGCTGGAAGGGACCTCGGAAGATCATCGAGTCCAGCCCCCTGCCCAAAGGGCAGGAAGTCAGCCGGGTTCATAGGATCCCAGCAAGATGAGCATCCAGTTTCATCTTGAAGGTGTTCGAGGTGGGCGCTTGAACCACCTCCGGTGGCAGGCTGTTCCAGACCTTGGGGACTCGGACAGTAAAGAAATTCTTCCTTATGTCCAGCCTGAAATGGTCTTGTAGTAGTTTATGACCATTCGACCTAGTCGTCATCCCTTGGGGCGCTCTGGTGAACAAACGTTCCCCCAGATGCTGGTGGTAACCCCTGATAAACTTATAGGTGGCCATCAGATCACCCCTGAGCCTGCGCTTTTCCAGGCTAAGAGCCCCAGGGCTCTCAGCCTGTCATCGTAGGGTCTGCTTCCCTGACCTCTGATCATGCGCGTGGCTCTTCTCTGGACTCTCTCTAGCTTCTCCACATCCTTTTTGAATTGTGGAGCCCAAAACTGGACGCAGTACTCCAGCTGCGGTCTCACTAAGGCTGAGTACAAGGGGAGAATGACGTCCCGGGATTTGCTTGAGAAGCATCTATGGATGCAAGCCAGCGTTTTGGTCGCTTTACTAGCCGCAGCATCGCACTGCAGGCTCATGTTCATCTTGTGGTCAATGATGACCCCCAAGTCTCTTTCTTGCATAATGCTAGCCAACATAGCACTGCCGAGCCTATAAGGATGCTGCGGGTTTTTCTTCCCAAGGTGGAGAACCTTGCATTTATCGGCGTTGAACACCATCAGATTCTTGTCCGCCCACTTGCTGAGCCTGTCCAGGTCAGCCTGGATCACCCGCCTGTCTTCTGGTGTGGATGCTTTGAGATGTCAGCTATCTATAGCAGTGGTTTTCAACTTTTCATTTGTGGACCCTTAAAATGGTGAATTGAGGTGTGGACCCTTTTAAATTGTAAGGGTAGGTATTCACATACTTTTGATTGATCACAGTCATCTTTTGTAGAGCCCTTAGACATAGTCTGCAGACCCCCAGGGGTCTGCGGACCACAGGGTGAAAACCACTAGCCTACAGTGTCAAAGAATGTCTTCCTCATAATTTTAAAATGGCTATGGTGTTTTTACTAGATATTGGTTTTAGCAAGATAACCACCGACTCATGGGAAACATAAGCTTCAAGCTGAAGTGCCTTATTTATGGCAAGTTTATAAACATAATGAAAACATAGTTTTTTAATAGAAGTAATGCCTTAATACTGAGAAAATGCCTGAGTAACGTTCCCTAGCAACAACCTCTACATAAGTGACTGATAGGAAATTACTTTTCATTCCTGTGAAATAACACATATTGCAACAAGCAGGAAACTTTGAATCAGAAGAAAGTGGTGCAATTCCTTGTGGGATTACAGACTCCAATCAGAAAGCACCCTTACCAGCTCCAAGACATTACACCAAGACAGATTAAGGTTCAAGTGGATTGAGAAATTCAGAGATAATTTTGAGGATGAACTTTTACTTAAATTGATGCCAAAAGTAATTATGTAAAAACAACCAGAGTAATACTTTGAGAAAGAAAGAGAGACAATCTGTACAGGATACAGTTATGTCTTTTAAATATTGCACTTCCAGAGTAACCATTAGTGTAGCAACCATTATCATAGAAATTAGTTCTGCATTCTGCAGTAATTAGAAAATGCACACACATTTTAAACGCATTTTAA